CTTGCTATCCTCATTGGCGCCAGCCGTGTGGTTCCTCCTGTGGCGATTCCAAAGATATTTCATTGATTTTCAACCAATCCACGTGGCTTGATGCATTCTATTTTACCCAATAGCCATCCGCAGACCTTGGTTTGCTCATGATCGCCCCACGCAAGACGTTGCACTCGACGCCCCGCGCCGTCCTTGCCGAAGCGTTCGCCTTGGCCAAGGTCGGCCCCACCGACGTCATCTGTGACGTAGGCTGCGGCGACGGCCGCGTCCTCCTCTACGCAGCCACCGAGCTCCGTGTGGCCAAGAGCATTGGCATCGAGATCGACGGCGCCCGCGTCGAGGCCATTCGCGCCAGCGCCGCTTCCATGGGCATCAGCGACAAGGTCCACGTACACTGCGGCAATGCACTCGAGATTCCCATTGACGACGATGTGACAGTTCTCTTCCTCTTCCTCATCGAGCGAGGCCTCAAGCAAGTGTTCCGACAACTTGAAGCGTGCACGAGCCGTCTCCGCGCCAAGCCGCTTCGCATCCTCACGTACCTCTATTGCATTGACGCCATGGACCCGTTCTTGGTCGAGACGCGTATGTGTGCTGCTACGGCCGACGGCGCGACCAAGGCAGACGCCAAGTTTCCCATCTACCTTTATGTGCTGCCGCCCAAACCCGACATTGAAACACAGTTGCCATAGGACGTCTTGCAGCAATGGACTCACGCCATGACACGCATGTATTCGTAGCTTGATCTTATCAACGTCAGCTTTATACAATGACCATCTCTCAAGGAATGTTGCCTTGCATGTGGAAAGGCGGGGACCAATCCATTGAGGACACGATACAGTGCTCGTCGACGACAGGGGCTACAACAGACAGCTACGACTGCTTCTTGGCCAAACCTTGCTTGCGACGTTGTTTGTTGGCGAACGACTGCTGTACAACTTGGTACAAGATGTGAATCTACAGCCAGGTATGAAGACTCGGTCGGTCGTCGCCAACAGCACGTACGTTGACGCAAACACTGGCACACGCAACGCACAACGTCGCAGCAAACAAGCTCGTTTGAGGCCAGTCCATGGGCTCTCGAGCTCGCAATTGCACAAGCGGGCGGCCAACGTCGGCGAACGCGCTGAGCATCGTCAGGAAGAAGACCAGCCGAATGTACTACAGACAGACCGTTGAACCCACGCTGCCTGGAGAAAGCGCGTGGTACGAGTGGTAGCTGGCGTCTTGCAAAGAGGACGAACGCCAAGAGGTACAGCGCGAGCGCGATCGCGGTGGCCTTGGCCGCGTCCGTTGTCCATGCATTCTCGTACGCCGCCGACGCAAGAAGCAAGACAAAGCGCAGCGCAGCTGCAACCTAACGAAGCGCCTGAGCTTAGCTTGACGAACGACTACGTACGTATTGGCGGCCAATCGACAGGGGCGCTGGTCCGTTGGTGGCAGCGCCGCCCCAGATTGCTGCGTGCAGGGCTTCGTGCTTTGCACTCATCCGCGTCGAACTTCGAAGTAGCATGGTGCCGGATAATCCGATAACTTACACTAATTTATATGCAAGAAATACACTATTCAATACAATATTGGCCAATCACCGAGCTGTATTCGCGGCGCAGGTGGTTCAACAGCCCACTAAAATCGCCAACTTCAATCCGGTATACAAAGTCCAGGTCCGTGGCCAATATATATTGCGAAGGTCTTTTTTATTCATTGGAAACAGGCGTTTTGTATGTGGAATTAAATTTCAATATGAAATAGCTCGGCGTGGCAACGGCTGCGACGCATATTCAGGCGAAGCAGAAGCATGGCGAAGACAAGCAGCGCAGCCGCCTGGAGCGCCTGGATGGACCGGCTCGAGAACGCGCGGGTCTCGCAGCAGAGCCTGAGCTCGATGGTCCGGACGAGCGCGGCCACAAACCTGGGCACGAGCGTCTTTGCCCTGCAGCAGAGTGCCGCCAAACTGCGTCGCGACTTTGACGCGATGACCGCAGTCCCAACGTCCAACGCTGTCGCGACGCCGCAAGAGATTCGGCGGCGAGAAGACCTTCTGAAGACGCTGGAAGCCCAGACGTCGGCGCTCTTAACGACGTACAATAGTCGCGCCCAAGGCACGCGCGGGTCGGTGTCGCCATCTTGGCTGGCATGGACGATGATATCTTGACCATATTTAGGGCGTCGACGGTCGAGGCAGGCTCGCAAATGCTGCGCATCCAGAACCAAATGATGCAAGGTAGCTCGATGCATGCAGGCGAGAGGCGTTGTCTCATATCCATGCACAGACCAGGACGACCAGCTCGCGATCATCGGGTCGGGCGTGGCGAATCTGAAGCATTTTTCGTTTGCGATCAAGGACGAGACCGACTTGCACCACCGACTGCTTGACGATATGAACCAGGACATTGACCGCGCGACGGTCGGGCTCGAATCGGAAGGCGACCGCGCTGAGCTCGTGGCCAAGCGCAGCAGCAACTTTCGGTTGTACCTTGCGATCCTCGTGCTCTCGGCCATCCTCGTCTTTGAACTCGTCATTGGCGGCAGCAAATAAGATGTAGCGCAATACAGTTTATTTTAAAAATGACACAGAAAGCCAATATGACCTTGTCCGAGATTTGTAGGACGTCTAATTACCTACATTTCGGAGCCAGCCAGTCCATCATTGGCTTGAACGACCCTCTATGCTTCTTATATAAAACTAAAAGATGGATGATATATCATAATCGATGGAATGACCTGAACCTCATGGCTTTTTGTCAAGAGAGAAATGGACCGCAGGACATGCGGTCGGCGGTGAGAATGCGAGATCTGTACATCGAGGGACAATCATCCCAACGAGAGAAAGAGTTTCAACCCCCAGGTATTTTATGGAAATAAGGGGTGTCAAAACTGACGAATACGTTATAGCAGGAACTATTGGAGGAAGGGGTTTGCATGCAAGTACTACAGTGTAGTACTACGTAACAGCAAGTGGGCGCGAACAGTTTAGCATAGAATACTACTACACTGTAGTGTCCTGTTCCGTCGCCGGCTTCCTGTGGAAGACCGGTGTGCGTCGACGAGAAGAAATTGAGAACTGATGATTAACACAACTTACAAGTCGACGGGGGCCACCGTAGGCATCGATGGGAAAGGAAATACATTACGCGGTCGGGTTTACTGGAACGTAGCGTAACCGCAGCCGATGCTTGGTCTTATCCCAGTGTGTACCGGTATCCATCACCGCCGGGCACGTGTTGCCAGATTTGCTTGGCGGCGGCGGCGTAAGTTGGTGGCGTCATGGAGGTCTGCCTCGGCGTCTTCGCCTGTAGCATCGTCGTTTGCATCGCGAATCACCGCAGGTGGTCTTAGTCGCTGGCCTCGTCGCGTGGCGCTTCCGCTCTGGGCGCCGCGTTCGGTGGCGCTATGCGACCGAGGCGGCGGTGTAACCTAATTCGCAGTTGATTTGATGCCGCCGACCGAAGCCGCCGTCAAGGAAGTGCGGGACTCCGTACGGCACCAAGACCCGAGTCTTTGGGACCGGCTGCTTCGGGTCCGGCTGATTCGCTCAGGCTCGAGCCTTGCGCGCCGGCGCGTCCTGGCGCGCTTCCATGATCTTGCGTGGCTCCGACTGTGCCCACGAAATTCCAAATCGCGTCCAATGAAATCGCAGTAGAGTAAATCGCGACCTGTGAATATCCGAACACATCAAATATATATCACTTTACGTAATCTGGATTGGCCAAAATAGCGTCTGAAGGGGTAGGTTTGGAAGGGATATGGAGTTGGCCGGGTTGCAATTCGGCTCATACAAATTCCAAGTACAAAGTTTGGCTGGGGCCTTTGTCGTATGGCCCACCACGCAAGTGTAGTGCTGGTGAGTACAACTCCCAACGTCCCAGCAGTGCTCTGTTTGCCAGTGGTTGTCCCTGCTTTCTTTTCTTTCTCTTCTCTCGGGCCGTGTCCTAACAATCCAAGAATGCCACACTTTACATTCGCCCGAGATTGCCTGCGCGACTGGTCTCGAATTGACAGGTTCAGATTACAGTACATTTTCTCTAAGATCGCGCCATAATGACGCCGTTTCATTGGCTTAAAATAAGCGAATCAAATTTGTGTGCGCTTCCACCTCGTTTGATTCGTTGGATTCTAGTCAGTCCCTTGACGTGTTGGGCCATGAGTCCCGGCAAAAAGCGTCATGCATGGAAGGTGAGTCGATGGGTTGGAGCGACGACATTGCTCGTTGGTGGCTTATCGTGCCTTGTCCATTCGTATTGGTCTCGAGATGGTGGCGCGCGTCGAACGCAATAGCCGAGATGTGGCGGCGATGTTCGTGATGGTGCAAATTCCCAGTTTACAAGGTCGATTTCGATCACGCATTTGTTTTCACGTCGTGATCATGATCAAATTCGCTGCAGCGTTAGGGTGCTGTCGATATTGCTGGCGCCAACATGACTCTGTCACCCAATGTAAGGCACGCCATGGAGATGAGGCGCGACGGAAAGGCTCGTGCTATCCATCCGTCTTTAGGTAGTGTAGGGGTCTTTTGCCCCATCTGTCGATTGACGATTCGCAGGTTCCCAGACACGCAGCGCGTTGAACCTGTCATTGAAGTTTTGATGTCATGCGTCAAGTCAACACATGTCTTCTTCGTGCCTGCGCCTCTCGTCAGGACGGCGGCAGCTTTTCCGCCATGCAGCCGAGCACATGGTCGCGCGACCAGACTCGTCTCTGGCGTTTGCTCTGGATTTGGGCCTCGTCCTTGGGTGCAGCTTCTTTCTATTTCTGTATTACAAGCGAATGCAGTGAGTTACTCGGAGGTCGATCACTCCCTGCATGTCGCTTTCCATCAGTTCGGAGCGGCTTGCATGATGGAGGACGCTCCGGTCGTGAGAGACGCCACCTGCCATGTCATGCATCTGATGAAGTCCAAAGCTGATGTCTTTGAAACATTCTTGTTGTGGAAGTTGCTTCCGCTCTTATTCGCTACCCCGGTGGACCACAGTGTCATAAAATCCGAAACGAACGTGGTCACGGCGGCGAATTGGCGGTGAATCGTTTCGCGCAGCTGTCTCGCAACCAGTGGCGACTGTATCGAATTGCCGAGTCATCGGTTGCCGTCGACGATGGGTGGTGCAGGGTGTAGCAGTCTGTACTTGGATGTTTGCAATCAAATCCGAGGCTGCGTGCGTGCAGCCGGCAATTATCGCCGCTGCCAGAGGTGCGCACGGCTCTGGGTCTGAGTCAGTACGCATGTAACACCAGACACAGTTATAACGTTACCTAGCCACGGAACTTTAAGACGTGCGGTACGTGCCAGAAGACAGAAGATGCACTTCACCAAAATCTCACAATCTCACATATGGGTGACGACGCCAACACACCGCGCGCGCGGAAGCTCGCCCACGACCGCGACGCCAAGCGACTTCAGCGACAAGCCTACATTGACGAGGTCTCGGCGCTCCGACAGTCCATCCTCGACCTCACGCGCCAGCTTTATGTGCTCCGCGGAACGCTCGTCGCATGGCAAGATGTCGCTCATGAGCTCCACCATGTCTCCGAGGTCACGCGTCTCGAGAACCAGCAGCTCCACGACCAAGTCGCGCAGTACCGACGACTCGCCAACCACCTGCATGACTGGATACGGACCATGACCCCTAGCGTACGACCTTCTTCTCTTGACGACTGACGCATGGCGGTTTGCGTAGACTGACGGCGCGCGCCTCTCGCCGAGTCCGTGGCCCGAGGTGACGCTGCCACGCCACGAGGATATCCGCCACATCGGCTTTCGCTGGCTGGCGCAGCAGCTGCTGACGGCCGCCGAAGCCAACCTCGCGCCGTCGTTCTTTCCACAGACGCACGAAGACTCGATCAAGGTCGAGTGGGGCCGCAAGGGCCGCAAGTTTATCTTTCAAAAGGTGCTGCACGCGCCGTCGGCGATGGTGTCGAGAGCCATCTGGGCCATGAATGGCGCCGAGGGGCCACGAAGCTTGACCGCTTTTGACGACCACGAACCGAGGGTCCAGGTAGTTGCTCCTTCTCCGGCGCCATATGGTCTCGTGAATCAGGTGCTGCATGCAGAGACGAACGATACGCATCAACTGAGCTACATCCAGGAGTCTCTCGGCAACATCGTGGTTCAGCGCGTCTTTCATGTTCGCATTTTTCTCGACGAACGCACTGTGATTGCGCACCGAACGATCGCGTCAGACGAGGCGCTGCAACCGTACGACCACGACGAGTCGTTCCAAGAATGGTGCGGCTTTGCCAACTTCCTCGTCCGTCCGCACGGTCAGTCGATTCGACTTTTTGTAGGTGTGAGGTCCGAGACATTGGCGGCGACACTTGCCTGGTGCGCGCCGTCGCCTTCACTGAGCCGCGCGCCAGATTTTCGTCGCTCGCCGCGTACATGCAGACGCTGTACCCAGCGCAGTACGCCCTCGCGCTCGCGAACGAGGACGGGCACAGCGAGGGTAGCCCGTCGTGGGAGCCCTACTTGCATCGCGTCATGCTGACGTATGGCATCGCATGCGCGCGGCAGTGCTTTGAAGTGCTAGAACGTGTCTTGGCACACGTGCGGGCAAATCCAGAAGCAATTTTGTCTTGAGAGATGATGACAGTGTTGCGCAACCAGAGCGTGCTGACGCGACGATAGAGTGTTTCTTGGTCGGAATGGAGGTGCTTTCATTGGCGTCTGTCCAAATTGACATTCCGAACCGAGTATAAGGTTGCGCGCAAACAACATCGCAGAGATTGCAGAGCCTTGGGATCGCATTCGTGCGGCCGTTGGTGACAGCATGCGATGGTCCTTTGCAGAGCAACGCGCAAAAAGGATCGCGTCCACGACCAGTCTGTAGTACCCAGCGCTGATTACCCTCGCTCTCGCCAACGAGGACGGGCAAAGCAAGGGTAGCCCGTCGTGAGAGCCATACTTGCATCGTGTGATGTTAATGCATGGTATAGCGTGCGTCCATCAGTGCTTTGAAGCATTGGAGGGCGCTCTAAAGCAGGTGCAAGCGCATCTGGATGCTAATGCAGTGATTTAACGTCGAGTCCGTTATCCATTCTATTGCCTGGCCATTGCAGTCGCCAGATGGTGTGTGGGGTGTCTAGGGTCAAACTGGTCGGACACACAAACAGCCAATGGATTTGTCTGTTTTCGAGGCCGTGACGGGCACAGTATCCGATAGCGTGTGTGGTCCGATACGAAAATTCTTAAAGCGACGTGGCCCCAGTGACGGAGTTGCCTACATATCTACATTTTGCCTCGAATAAAGTCGCGATTGACCGTAGACGGGCGAATCAGACTTCAACCGTTACCTCGCACGAATACTGTGCGTACCGGCACTTGGAACAGAAGTTTCTTTCACGCAGCCAGGCGTGCGTTTCGTCCGGCACGCATTGTCGTGGAAGGTGTCTTGCGTCGGAATGAGAAGCGTTCCCCATGCCGGTCAGACTCTTCATGGTGCATCATAAGCTTTTCTACCACATCTTCGTCGCGCGTGAGGGGGAAAGGTGATGTTGACTTTACCGCTGCCGAGTGGGATGGCGGGCGGTCGTCCCCTTGTAGAGTCGCGTAGGCTTGACCATCGCACGCGCGAGCTTCTGGGTTGTAGCAGTGTGCATGTGCGTATGCCACTTGAGCGAGTCACCGCCCCGGCGGCCGGATAGTAGGCTTGTAGTGTCCGAGTAGTCGGCCGCGGACTCGACCGTCGCGCGGTTGCCTTGAAGCGAGTGTGGCGTGTGGCCGTTGGTATTGATGCCTGTGGTGTGGTTCGCTCCCTTCTCACCGCGGTGCGAGGCGCAGTAGAGGGTTGCTGGGGCGCACGAGGTTTCGAGTGGCTTGTAGCCGCTTGGTCGTCTTGTGCTGGTGGAATTGGGCGGTGACGATGCTCTTCTGCACCATGGCTCGTTTGGCTTTGGTGTGGACGACCTGGACGTCCTGGAGGCGCTGAGCTTGTCGACATGGCTTGTGGAGCGACGGCTCCGGTTAGCGCAGTGGGACGAAGAGACCCCCGACCGTAGCCCCCTATGAGACGCGGTTGTGGAGTGAGTCGGGATATATGCGTTGGTGTACGCTTCGCGGTATGGCCGGTGAAGCAGGTCGCGTCGACCGTGTTGGCAGACACGCCGCGCTACGTGCGGTGGGCTGGGACTGTCGTGTCTATCGGTAAAGCGACGTGAGACAATGTCCACGTATGGCGTTGTGGTGTAGCGCGACGCGCACCGGTGCGGCTAGCACCTCGTCGGTTAGGACGGAGCCAACACAGCCGGTTTGCGTTCGGCGCTTGCGTGCTGCCCAGACGACGCACATCGGTGGTGCGTGGTGGCAGTCGTGCCAAGCACGTCTTATTGTTGCACATCGTGATACGGATCGGAGGACGCCCCGTCATTGTCGACCGGGGTGCCATCGCCAGCCGTGCACCTTCGGTGTTGTTGTTGTTCTCCTGGCGTGACGGGCAGGAGCATTGTCCTTGTCGTTATCGCTGTCGTTGTCGTTCGTTACCACTGTCGTTGTCGTTGTCGTTGCGGAGGGGCGTTGCAGGCCGGATGTCCCGCTCACCGGGACATGTAGCGAGGGCTCGCGGTTGCGCATCCATGTTTGGAGGTCGACGTGGCTGCGCGGGGTGAAATGTAGAATGGACAGACCTTGGACGGTGAAAGCCATCTTCGAGTAGTGCTAGCAGTTTTGGGTTCTGGGTTGAAGGGCAGCTTGTCGTCGAGCATGATCTTCAAGATGACGCCGTCTGGAGTGTGATGATGATGGCGCTCGTGCATGAGCAACTCGAATGACTTCGTCGGGCAGAGGCTCGAATGACCGCGTGGACGTTTCGGAGGCGGCTCGACGTATGCTGGTCACGATGTTGGGCACATCGGCTTCGGGGGACATGAAGGCGCAAAAGTCGTCATTGTTGGGCAAGTGGGGTGAGCGGCTCGGGCAAGGGTATGGGCTGCATGCGGTGTCCGTGTTGGGCCGACGCAGGTGGGAGAGCGGTGCAGCTGTTCACTCGTCGTCATCGTCGGGCGTTGGCGCGGGTGGCGGTGGTTCGTCGCAGAAGACTTCACCGAGGCGAATTGTTGGAGGACGCGGGGAAGCGTGGGCTGTGCAAAGTGTATTAGGTGCATGGCGTGCTCGAGCGAGCACTGTGGAAGCGTGCCCGTGAAACGGGTTGGTCCAAGCGACAACATCGGGCGCCAGTGAGTGAGGGATCGAGCGCAGCGCTTGTGGGAGCACAGACGAGGTTGAGATGGGTAGTGACGGAGGAGCCTCGATGGTGGCGAGGATGGCCTCGCCCCAGCCTCGGACTGTCCGGCGGCTGAAGCCCGTGCGCTGGATGACCGTGTTGGAAAGTAGCATGGCGACGACAGGGGGGCTCGGCGCCGTCGTTCTGTTTGACTTCAATCATGGAGGTACCGGTGTGCACGGGCGTGTCGTAGTTGTTACTTGGCCGTAGTGGTATACTGCGTCGTGGATAGCGACGACACCTTGACGGAGGAGGACGTCGGGTTTGGTCTTGGTCGCTTCTTCGATGGGACTTGTTGAGGTTTGAGCGAAGCTTCGAGCGAGGTCGCAAACGTGGGCTTGTCGCCGTACGGGATGCGCTCGACTGACACCTTGGCAGTCTTCTTTTGGACGCCCGTGACCTTGGCGTACGCGGGGCAGAAGATGGCTTGATCGGGGACTTGTTCGGGCAACAGAAGGACGCACTCTCCTTGCATGAGGACGGAATTGGAGGACATGATGGCGAGCGAGTAGCACGCTTAGAAAAACCACTTGCTGCCGAGCGTGGGAGCCGTTCAGGCCCCGTCCGTTTGCTGCCCCCTGCCCGATTGGTAGAAAATCTAGTTTCAAAGCTACGCTATGAAACTTTCACGGTTTGCCCTGCTTCGATCCCGACCGTACGAAGTCGCTACCACATCATCGATTCTCTGCTTGACAGCGATACCGCGCACCATTCGCACCACTGGTTTTCGCCTGTCTCTTCCGAAATATCCCATCCTGGATTCTCCGATGGGTGATCCCGATCTTCACTTTGTCTGCTATCCTAGCCTCTTCCACCACGACTCGAAAGAGATATACTAACGTTAGACCAAGATGCGTCACTCGTCATGCTGTCGCGCCCGCATCTCGCACATCGTCCACCACCCGCGCGGTGGTAAGGGTGAGTAATGGGCGCAACTTTGCCTTTCCACGGAACAACTCCGTGTACAAATCACCGAACGATAGATACGTTGCCTCTGCGCGACGTCGTGGCGCCAACTGCTCCAACACGCCACCACGCGCTTCACCTCACGCTCACGTTCTGCCGCATCCCGCAAGGGCCAACGAGAAACGCGCTGATTCCTAAGTCGACGCACTTTAACATCAACGCCGCTCCGAGTCACCAAGGAATGATAGCTCGCCATTGCCGTTACATTTGCATCTGTTGAATCCATACGAGCGTGTCTGATTTGTCAACATGTCAGGCGCGAACGGTTACATCCAGCACATCAACGTCTCACGCGGTAAATTGAGCGCCAGTTGGCAATCGACCACGAACCGCGCAAGAGTGAAAGAATGGCCGATGCAACAACGCCACGCAGCACGACGGTGGTCTCGGCGGCGCGCCTCCGACGCCTCGCCCACGACCGCGAGGCCAAGCGTGCGGCCCGCAGCGCCTACATTGCCGAGTCGACGCAGCTTCAGACCACGGTGAAAGCGCTCACGCACCAGCTGTACCGCATCCGAGGCACGCTCGTGCCGTGGAAGGAGGTTGCCGCCGAGCTCCGGCACATGAGTGACGTGGCCGTGCTCACGAACCGCCAGCTACAGCACCAAGTACTGTACTACCGGCAACTCGCGGTCCGCCTCGACACTTGGATCCAGCGAATGCAGCCGCCCGTACGTTCGCATTGGAGAAGCGACACATTGAGACGTAGTACTCGTGTAGACAATCGCGGCGGGCCTCGCCTTTGACGCGTGGCGCGACGTCTACCTCGCAAGCGACAAGGAGACGCGGGCGATGGGCCTTTCGTGGATCACCAAGCAGCTCTTCCACGCGTCCGAAGCACACACGGCGCCGTCGCTCTTCCCACATGCGATCGAGGACTCGGTCAAAGTCGAGTGGGGACGCCGCGGCCGCCAATTTATTTTTCAAAAAGTGATTGCCGGGTCAATGCAAGACGCAGCCAAGACGTTGTGGTCGCTCAACCGCGCCGAAGGCAACCACATCGTTCCAGGCAAGCAAATCCCCGACGGTCTCGTGCACGTGCTCCACGCCACCGAAGAAAATAGCCAGCGCGTGAGCTACGCACGTGAAGAATTCATGGAAGCGTTTGGTCCGTCGGTCGAGCACGTGCTGCATCTCCGCGTGATAAAGAAAGACCGAATCTTGATCATGGCCCGCACGATCGCCCAAGACGCAGCGTTCGCCCCGCGCGTGGTCCGCCAGTCGTGCCGCGAATGGTATGGCTTCAACGGCAGAAAAACGACACTTTTGTCCATGCGTAGGAACGAAATTCGAGATATTGGCAATGGCCAGAGCCTCGTGCGCTCGGTGGTGTTTGCCGAGCCCGCGGCGGCGTACGAGACGATGACCGAGTACGTGCTTGATCTCTTCCCGCTCGAGTACGAGCGCGCGCTTGCGATGCGCAAGGACGATATGGTCGTCGGGTCCCTCGAGTGGGAAAACTATCTCCACCGGTTCATGCTCACGCTCGGCGTTGCTTGCTCGCGCCACTACTTCGCTTTTTTCGACAAAATCCTTGGCGATGTCCAGGACCGACCACACTTGTACTCGTTTTAAGACCATTGGAATGATTGACAGTGGTGCCTCGGGTCTTGCCTCTATACTATCAATATATCAATTTATCAATCGGCTTGAACGATCAAATAACTCGCTCTACTTACATCCAGGGTCTGTATAAAATCCCAAACCATCCCCCCAATGACCCGAGACAGTGTATCGCAAACGTGCGGTGCTGCTTGAACACGTTTGCTCGAAAGGTTTTTTCTAGAAGCAGGAGCGTTAGAATTGTGTTGCCTCTCGAGTACAGGTAGGATTCTAGTTGATCATGATGTCGGTTCGACCGCCGCCAATCCGTCACATTGGAGTAAAACGTCGATGCAGACCTGATACGAGCCAACACCCCAAAAACACTTGCATCAACGCTTCACCAATCTGCCAGTGAAGATCCAAATTAACAGACCCTTAAGAGACCCAAAGTCGATTTCAAATCCGATGCGCTACACAAGCTTTGGGAGGGCGCCAAGGGATGGACGCGACCTTGTTTTGCTTTTGAGCAACTTCAGATGCTTGGTCTTCTTGGCGGGCCCCTTGGAAGTGGAAACGGCATCTTCAGGCAGCGCGTCGGCATCGAGTCGCTCGCTGGACAACCCGAGGGCCGGCATGCTTACGCTTTGGCTGCTTTTCGCCAGCTGATCCAAGTCCAAGTACGGCACACCCTCGACTTGATTGTTGTTGCTTCCTTTGCTGGGCTTGGAGAGGTCGAGGCCGATTTGGGCGCGGAGCAGCGCCACGGGAATGTCCGAGAGACTCTCCCGCGCATCAAAAGGGTCGCTAGACAGGCGACTCGTCTGCGGTGCATCGTGCTCCTCAGCAACTAGGTGTCCATGTCGGGTCTCGGGCTGACTCACCGCCGTCCGCACCGAGAAGAGATTGTCGTCAGTTGCCTTGGACAAGCGCCGGATCTCTTTCTGGAGCAGCTGCCGCGTTAAGTTGGCATCGGTCACGTGGTCGTTGGCGAGCGACAAGTCCCGCTGGAGAGCGCTGACTTGTGCTTCGTACTGCTGCGACGACGTTTGCAGCTCGGCGCTAAGTTCGGCGATCGTGCGGTTGGAGTTGGCTTGGAGCGCGTCGAGGCGCTGCGCGAGCGTCAACACATTCTGGCTCGCGTCCTGGAGATCGCTCTTGTAGCGCTCAATGTGGGCTTTAAGCGTCTTGTTTTCACTTGTGAGCGTCGCCTGCAGCGTTGCGAACCGCCCGAGGCTGTCGCGGTCCGTTTCGTCTTCGTGGCGGGCACGGGACGCTTCGAGGTCCCGCTTCTCTTTTTGAAGCTTTGCTACGTCCGCCCGCAGTCGCTCCTCGAGCTCTTGGCTCTCGCGTGTCTTGGCCTCCTGCATACCAGATTCGGTATATGTATGGTCGCTCTTCATAGGGACGTACAAGTGTCTGCTTGAGATCGGCGACGCGCTGCGTGAGCGTCTCTTTCGTGTTGAGCAGCGGCGCCAGCTTGCGCTCGAGCTCTGCGATCCGAAAGTGTTTCTGGTCGGCGTCTTTCGTGATCTTGTCGACGTCATTTTTTTTGGATTCCAGTGCCTAGATATCCTGTTTGAGAGCCATGATTCTTGGTTGTCCGAAGGACCTCTTTCTGTTTGGCGCATTTGGCTTCGAGCGACTCAATGTGCTCTTTTCGGAGGACGCTCTCTCGCTTGAGGATCGTTGCGCTCTCCCGCCACTCGGCCTCCTTGCGCTTCATGTCTTCTTCCAAGTACCTAAACGAACGCTGGAACGCGGCATGTCGATTGCACGAGTTGCATACCGATATTGCGTCCGAAGCAAGTCGTCCTCCTTGGCCCGCGACGCCTTCTCAGCGCGAACCGCTTCCTCAGCATGCGTCAGCTCGGCCACGAGGTCGTTAATGGTGGCATTCGCCGCCGCTTGGATCGTTGTCATTTTCGCCTGCAGCTCGTCGTTGAGTGCGCTGGCCTCCATCGCTTCTTGCCGGAGACTTTCCGCATCCTTCCGCAGCACCTCTTCGCGCGCTGCGAACCCTTTTTCTTGGAGCCGAAACTCGCGGCGTAGCTACATACATCGCTCAGCTCACGCACGCGATGAGTGACTAAAGGTGTACCACTTCCAGTTGGCGCATGTGGTCGTTCACCTCGTCGTTCATGCGCCCGAGCTCCGATTGCATGCTCTGCTTGGCGCGAGTCAACCTACATAGATTGTTTTTGATGACAGCAGCAACGACACAGACGACATTCATACCGGTCGAGCTCGGCCTTGGCCTGCGCTTCATTGCTCTGCGCGCTGAGCAAGGCTTCGTCACGATCTTGCAGCGATTGCTGGAGACTGCGCTTCTCGTTGCGTAGACCCTGCACATCGCTTTGCAGCTGGTCCACTTGACTAGCACCACCGTCGCCTCCGTCTCCTGGGAGTACACAATAAAGTAATGCACCTCTGAAGGCCACTCAGTTCGACTTCGAGTCGCTTCTTCTCGCCACCGAGGGCGACACACTGGCTACTATAGCTCGCCACCTCGTGCTTGAGCGTGCCCTCCACGTTGACCCTACACTGATGGCATCGTTTCGATGTAGCAAGCGACATCGTACGTGGCAGCGGTCAGGGCATCGGCCTTGTCTTTCCACTCGGCCGCCGCTTCGTTGGCCTCGGCGAGGGCTTGCGCTTGGCCTTCAACAGCGGCATTCATCTCGACCAAGTGCTCTCGCGCCGTTTCGAGCTCGCTTTGGACGCTCTGGAGCTGCGCATGGAAGCGCGAGATGCCGGCCTCGGCCGCCGCCAGCTGCTGCGTTTTTGTCGTCAGTTCGTGCTCAAACTGCAATCGCTCCGACTGCAGCTGGTGCTCGAGGCCGGCCGCGCGCGTCCGGAGGTCGTCGTAGTCGGCCACGGACGTGGCTTGCATCTGTGCGAGGCTGTCGCTGACATCCCCGAGCTCGGCTTGTGTCGTTGCGAGCTTGTCGCGCAGCGTATCCACCTCGAGTTGCAGGTGGTTCTTGCCTTGAAACATGCTTTCGAGGTTCCGGTTGAGCTGATCCGCTTCCTGCAACGTCGCATGAGATTATATATCTACATGGTTGTCCACAATGCCTGGAGAAGATCGCGCTTCTCGTCCTCGAGCTGGTGCATGCGCTGCTTCTGCGTCTCGACTGAGCGCGAGAACTGCATTGTCTGCAGCGTGGCTGCTTGCAGGGCTGTCTCCAAGGCCATGACCTTGGATTCGCACGTTTGCGTGATGGCCGTCACCTCGTTGGCCTGGGTGGCTGTACGCGACTGGAGCTCCGAAGCGAGCGTGGCGCAGTCGAGCTGAACACTTGATAGCTCACTCTCTTTGGCAGCGATTTGTGCCGCGAGCTGTTCCTTCTCGGTAGCCCACGCTGCTACGTCCGCCTTCACGATGTTAGCGTCCTATGCTACCCAGGTAGATGCGTCTACGAGTTGTTGGGCTTGCTGGGTCTGGAGCGCGTTCAAAAGTTGATGTCGCTCAGATGCCAAAGTCGCTAGCTCCGAGACAGCGGGAACGATCAATGTCGGGTCATTCTCAACCTACGAACGCAAGGTTGACACGCCGCTAAATCACCTTGATGACTACCATCGACGCATTCAATTCAAGCAGCGCCACCAGCTGCTTCAGTGTCGATGTGAGCGCGCAAAGCCGGTCGTCGACGGTGCGTCGAGCAAAATGTGCTGCATCCAGCTCGCTCGTGAGGCTCGCGAGCCTCAAGTTGGCCGCATCGAGTTCGTTTTGAAGCGACTGGTTCGACTCGGCGAGCGTTTCCAGCGCCTCGCTTTTGAGGGCCAGCGTCTTCTCTAGCTGGCGCGCGGCCTCGATGTGGGCGGTCGCCTGGCGCGTGGTCTCATCGTGCAGCGTCGCGAGTTCGGCTTTGGCCTGCAGCAGGCAGACCTGACTCGTTTCGAGCTCGGAGCGCAAGCTATGCGCGATGCTGCTGTGTTGTGCATCAAGTGCGAGCATCTCATCACTGTAGCGCTGCAGCTCACTTCGCATCGCAGTGTTGAGTTCTTCCTTCTGCCCCCGTTCCATCTAGCACGCGCCGCTCGATTGTGTTGACATGCATCCAATACACGTACTTGCAGGGCGTCTTCAAGCGCCTTTATCGTCGTGGTTTGCGCCGCCCGCTCCTTGGCATCGTCGGCGCGCTGGCGCTCCAAGCTCTCAAGCGTCCGCTGCCACGACTCGTCGTTCTGCGCCAGCGAAGCCGATAGCTGTGCCGCATTGTTGTTAACTAGTCTCTTGATGACAACGGTCTGTCGAAGAGGCATTTGTACCATCCACGAGCGCCGCCCGGGCCCGCTCGAGGTCTTGGAACGTCGCCGACAAGTGCTGCGCTAGCTCCTGCTTCTCGGCCTCGACGTCGTGGAGCTTGAGGTTCATGTTGGCGCGGTAGCTCTCGAGTTCGTCCTTGGCCAAGTCGCTGTCATGCATAGCCGCCTGTAGCTGGCTTTCGAGCGCCTATGCAAGACAACACTGACACCTCTATGCCGATGTATCGACGTACCAAGTGCGCTTCCTGCAGCGTATTGCAATGGGTCTGGAGCTGCGCGATTTCGGTGCTAAGTTCAGCCTTGTCGCTGCGGAGCGCGGCGACTTCGCACTCGAGCGCATGGCGCGCCGCACCATACGCACCCTCTCGCTCCTACCGTACCTATCGTGAAGTACACTCCGATGCTTTTTCTCTTCTACTTGAAGGGTCGCGTCAAAGCGCGCTTGGGCGTCGCGGCGCTCGTCGTCGACGGCGCGCAGCATGTGCTGTAGCTGCGCAGAATGGTCCGCGTCTTGCGCTACAAGCGCCTCCTTGGCACTGCTAAGCTCGGACCTATTTGGATCGGTGCGTGGGCATGCATGAACATCTAGCACGTACGTGAGGCTTGCGTTGGTTTGTTGAAGCGTTTGAAGCTCGTGGAGCATCCGCTGCATGGCTTCGGTCGTGCCCGATGACTCGTGCTTGACGGCCTCGAGAAGCGCCGACAGCTGGGCCATGCGTGACTCCTTCGCTTCGAGCTGCTGGAGGATGAGCGCACTCGGTGCTGGCTCCTCCATGAGTGGGCGACTGCTGGTCATGGTTGGAGCAGGATAGACCATCGGTGGGTAGTTGAGAAGATGGCCGTGCTGTTGTAGCTGCTGCGCGAGCTGGAGCTGCTGGAGCTGAGCGAGGAGGAGCGGGTCCGGCGTCATCGGCGGTGACACCTCTTTTGACGACGACCGCCGGCGACTCGATGCGTGCGGCGACTTGGCGCCGGCCTTCATCACAACAATGTGTAATTTTAGATCCGGAAGCACGGTCTTGTAACTCGCTTCCTTTTGGTCTAGTTGACCACGAGAAATGCGCGAGAGCACGCGATATGTAGGTCGCCATCGTCGTAAGGGTTTGAACGACTCGTTCACCCAGTCGCAGCCTATGGATTGTCTTCTGAAAGGAATACTGAGCATAGTTCAGCGCTGGGAAGCTCTTTCCTGCCTCTCGACACCTAAAGTTGATTTTGTTGTTAAGTCGATTCTAAAACTGAACTTAACGGTGGAATGAGCCCAGACGGCCAACGATTGGCTAAAACTCAAACACATTTTTGGGATGTTTGCGACGCGAGCTCGCAAGACGCAGGCGAAGCGGCGCCGGGCGGCGTCCGACGACGATGGCGCCGACGACGCGCCGGCCGTCGTGGCCGTGGCCGTCGATGCCAAGAAGAAGCTCAACACGTTCTCGACGAGCGGCGCCAAGAAAGCCAAGGCGGCCGAGATCATGGACGCACGGCTGCAAGCGTCCACGCGCGAGGCCGTCCGGCAGACCTACGCCGGCGACGCTACGTACGAGTCGCAGATCGACACGGAGAAGGACCGGTACGTCTCTGCGGCAATGCTATCACGGCCTCAAGCGGCGACGATGCTGCTAGCGACGCCCGCGCGCTCCTCGAGAAGAACATCAAGCTCAACGCTGACGGCAACGACATTAGCGGGACCTTTTACCAGGGCAAGGCCGGGTACAAGAACTATGTGACAAAGAAGGAGTCGCAAGCCGGCATGAACAAGTACACGGGGTACGTTGCATTCTTCCATCTCCGACCGCTCATGCGAAAGGACGAAGCACGCAAGGTCCGATCCGCGCGCAGACGTGGGCCCGATCCATTTGCCGCTTCGACTATGCGCCAGACGTGTGCAAGGACTACAAGGAGACGGGCTTTTGCGGCTTTGGCGGTCTGAACGACATCGAACTTTATGCATCAGCTCAAGCTGGTCGTGCGTAGACAGCTGCAAGTTTATGCACGATCGTGGCGACTACAAGTCGGGCTGGCAGATCGACAAGGAGTGGGACGAGAAGGAGCGCAAGAAGAAGCAAGCGCTGGCCGCGGGGCTGGGTGCGTCGCCTGACGAGAGAGCTTTTTTAACACTTCGCGTAGAGTACAACTCGGACGGCTCGGACGACGACAAGTACGTCATCAAGAGCGACGACGACGAAGGGCAGTTTGCCTGCACGATCTGCCGCCAGCCGTTTACAAAGGCCGTCGAGACGCTGTACGTCCCTGCGTCGCGCTTCTGTCCCATCCGTACGCCGCTAGGTGCGGGCACTTCTTCTGCGAAGCTTGTGCACTCAAGCGCTACAAGAAGACGTCTCTGTGCTTCAACTGCAAAAAGCAAACCAACGGTCCACACACTCTGGCATCCACAGAACCCATCTTGACGACGACGTTAGGCGTCTTTAACATTGCCAAGAAGCTCCGCGAAGAAGAAAAGGCGCGTCTCGAGGAAGAGGCCGCTGACCACAACGACTCGGACGCCTAAATCTCGTTCATATTCATCAACGCAAGGGCATGACGTAGCGATCTACTTCTTGATGGTGGTGTCTGGTCAAAGCCCATCTTGTCCAGCACACGTTCAAAACCGATGGCGTCGAGACTGGCGACGAGCGCGAGGGCAGAGAACCAAATGTACTCGAGGTGGCCGTTCTAGGCGACGTAATGGGCATAGAGGAGCGTGCAAATAGACGCGCGGATATCGCCCATGGCCAGCATAAGCCAGTTGAGCGCCGCTCTTGAATGCGATGGGACGTGGGTGATGGGACGAGGTAGCCCGCTGGTACTTGGACGAGAGCGCTCGAAACTCAACCAGCACCGAGAAGAGCGCGGCGCCGCAGACAAGATACAAGCCAAACGCGGGCGGCACGAACGACCCGACGCCGTCGACACACAATGTACTCATACACGTGGGCGACCGTCGACGCTCATGTAGTAGGCGCCATATGCAAGCACGTTGGCATCGAGCCCGCTCTTGCCGACACGTACAATACCATCGCTAAGAAAGACCGGGTTCGTTGATGGGATGAGCCCAACGCAGAAAGACTGCCACCAAAGAGCTTCCAAACACCCGAGCATGGTCGGCGAAGTACGCACGACTTTCGCAATAGGCTGTCCACGTACGTACGTACTCCGCAGCGAGCGCCGTGTAGCCAAGTTTGGCGAAGTTCTTAGAGCCTTGATTCGCATATGTCAGGTAGTCGACAAGGGCGACGGCGAGGAGGAAGCGGAAGCAAGGTGCATGCAATTGGATCTGGGGCTCATTCCCGTGCATCTACCGAGCCATTGTGCAGAAGCCACCACTTCGATCAAGTCGTCTCTCTGAGCATACTTTTCTGCATTACCAAGGTTCTTTAGCCGCCGTCGTCGGTGGGTCGAGCACGCAGCGCCGTCGTCGTTGCATCGGAGAGAATGCGACGAGTGGTCATGTCACCAAAGCCCAGCTTGTCCATGGCGAGGAGAAAGCCGAGAGCACTGAGAGTGGCGAGGAGTGCGAGCGCGAAGAGCATGTATTCGAGGTGGCCGTCGTTGAGGTTGTCAGTGATGTACGGCGCAAAGAGGAGCGTGCAAATCGATGCGAGGTTGTCGCCCATGGCCATCATGAACGAGTTGAGCGCTTGCGCACAGCTCTTGAGATGCGATGGGACGTGGGCGTAGAAGACCTCGTACGCGGGGATGTACACCAAACAACGAGGAGATACGCCGGTACAGCCATGAGCCACGAGAGATTGTTCATCGGCTGCTGCGTGCCATCATCTCGGACCGAGACCGTCGTCGAGGACAATCGGCAAGGACGAGCGTCGACGAGGCCGACCCACACCATGGTCGCGCTCGAGAGAAGAAGACCAGCTGCAACCTTGTCCACAGCGCGAATACCATATCTAGTTTGCCGTCGCGGAAGCACCTATCCTCCCTCATGAGTGGCCAGACAACTTCTGGTAGGAAGCACTACGTACAATGAAGTCGAGGAGCGGGATCCAGACGGCGACGCCGAGCGTGTCAAAGACACCTAGCATGGCACCGGGCACTTGAGCGCCGTGTCGACCGGACGTCGGATCCCAGCGCAAGTCACACTGCTGGGATCGACTGAAAATTGGCGTCGAGCTGGTCGTAGACCGCGTTCCAGACGATCTGGAACACCCCAAATGGCAAGATCGCCAGCACTTGCGTGAGGTCGGAGGCCGATGCCGTGTCCAATCCGATTCAGGCCGATGCAAGGGCCTTCTTGTCAGTGGCTTTTCCGAGCAAGAGACTCATGCCAATCAAGATGCATCCTGCGGCCGCGCACGTGATCCCGTCGTCGTTCACAAACGCGGCTGCAAAGTTGAGCAACCTACTTGCATTTCGTATCTTGGAGGAGCGAGACGAGTCCTGTACCGGTGCGACTGTGTAAGAGCGTCAAAAGAAGCACGACGCCGCACAAGACAAAGGTGGCTAAGTACCCCGCCTCCGGTGGTACGATTGGGTGCACGCAGAGGTAGGCGAGGTACAAGAACGAGACGGTCGACCCGACGTTCATGCTCAGGTAAAAGTAACTGAAGAAGCGCTGCTGCGCGTCGTCGTCGCCAGAGAATTGATCGGCGCCCAGCGCGACCACGTTCGAGGCAAAGCCGCTGTGGCCAAGACCGATGCCAAAGAAGATCGCAATGCGGAAATCGCGTTGGCCGCAGCATTGTCCTCGGTGAGCACGACGGGGTGCGACGCGACCACCAAGAAGCAGATGCCGCCGACGTACCAAGTGCCAGCCAGCAAGATGGCGCGAAAGCGTCCAAGGTGCTCATCGGCCACGTACGCCGATGTCAGCGGAACAATGTCGCAGAAGCTCGTCCACGTGCTACGGAGCGAGCTGGCGCCGACCTGCGAATAGCCGAGCTTGGCCTGCATAAAATTCTTAAAGCCTTGGCTAATCCCATAGTACGTGAGCGCGTCGTCGAGCTCGAGCAGAAGCACGTAGGCGCTGACGCTCCACATGGACGACGTCGGTTGGCGCGCTGGCAGGAGGTCCCCGCGCTCCTCCATCACAGCCGAGTCTCATATCGGGATGCCTCGAGCCAATCACGCTTGGCTAAAAGATCGCAATTTTACGAGAAGTGATCGAGCGTAGTAGTGCCGGTCGACCCTGGAGAGTATGCGCTGCGCAGCTTAGCGTTGGCAAAACCAAAGTACGAATGGTCCCAGTGACAATGACACCTAGCGATGGCATCTACGACAGCTCGCAGTCCGTCGATATCGATCCGTTCGACTCGTGTGCGCAGGATCGTCTAGCCGGGCACAGACTGCTTCTTCGCTCGACCTTTGAACCAGAGAATGGGATGCGTGGGATTGAGTGCAGTGGCTTGAAATACCGCACGTGTGTCGATGGCCGTGATCCAGTGTGCGGTCCGTCAGATCGAGTCGCAGCGCTCGCGGTGCACGGTAGGACCTCCAGGATAATCTGGTGTGAATACCGCATTCAGACGTGTGCATCTGAGCCCGAAATGTGGTCGTCGTCTCGTGCGGCGGTCTTTCCGCATCAGTGTCTCTGCGGCGATGTGCGTTTCGGTTAAAAACACGGCGCTTGTTTTAAACATGTACCATCCCGTCGTCGGAATATCTTTTTCTTTACTTGGTCCGAAGTAGCTCGACGTAATATATTTTGTAGCCAGGCACGCAGAACAACAATTCTGTACGGCAAAGTGCATCCGCTCTCGTCGGAGAAGGCTGGGTCGTTCAAGCGTCGTGGTCGTGACGTCGTTGTACGAACGTCATCGAAACACAAGACTTTACGTAGCGCTAGGCCTCAATGCGTCGTTAGCTAACTTCTGTGATATCGCACGCTACAACACATCCTGTTCGCCGGTGCAGCGATCTGCCTCCAAAAGCAGAGATTGTGATCGCATCCAGGAAGACGATGCGGTGTCGATGCGACCTGTGATGCAAGCGTCTTGGTGTTACGACGCCCGCGAGCACGAGCCAGCGATCACCAGTGCACGAGCATCACGTGCGAGCTCTCGATTCGACCAGTTCACGTTGTCGTTGTTGGTGTCGACAGTGTTTTATACACACTGTTGGATACTGTGTGTTTTATCATGGTGGAGACAGACACATGGTTGTCACGCAAGCCTGTCTGCGGCCGTCGGCTCGCACTCGTCACTCTTCAACAAGCCATTCATCAAGCAAGATGCGCTTTCTCACAGACGACGCTGGGTGCGGCGCGCCCATGGAGATGGACGGCGACTACGACCACCCAATGCACTATGCCGCCGTTGGCATCATCTTTGCCGCCTCGCTGCTCGGCAGTATGCTCCCGGTTGCGAGCTCGTACGTCTCGTGCCTCCGAAATGGCCGGCGCGCGATCGAGGTCCTCAACTCGTTTGGCTTTGGCGTCGTCATTGCCACCGCCTTTATCCACATGATCCCGCCCGCCATGGCCTCCCTCAGTGATCCGTGCCTCGGCGTCGAGTACAGCGGGCTCGCCATGGTCATCGTGCTTGCGACCATCTACATCATGCAGCTCCTTGAGACTGAGCTCGTGATCCTCATGTCCCGCGGCAACCTCGTCGACGAAGATGCCGTCATCTTGCAGTCTGGGAAGCACAGCTTTGGCTATGCCGACCACACGTCGCCCGAGCTCTCGGGCCGCGGACTCCACGCTCACAGCCACGGGCGCCTACTCGCGGGCAACACGGCGCTGCGGCAGAAGATCACCGTCGCGATCTTCGAGGTCGGTGTTGCCATTCATTCGGTCATCATTGGCTTTGAACTCGGCGTCACGTCCGGCGCAACGTTTACGACGCTGCTCATTGCGCTCTGCTTCCACCAGTTCTTTGAAGGCATCGCCGTCGGCACGTCGGCCGTCTCGGCCTTTACGAGTCTGCGCGCGTCGCTCTTGACGGCCGTGGGCTACTCGATCACGACGCCTCTCGGGATTCTGGCCGGTATCTTGGTCTCGGGCTCGTACAGCGAGACGTCGACGGTGTCGCTCTGGGTCCGTGGTGTTTTGGACGCGGTGGCTGGTGGCATCCTCGTCTACACCGGTCTCGTTGAGCTCCTCACGTACCAGTATACGATCAGCCCCGAGTTCCACGCGAGACCGACGTGGGGCCGGACCTTCAATTACACGGCGCTGTACCTCGGGTCGGCTGCGATGGCCGTTGTTGGCCTCTACGCATAAACTATCGTCAGTCTCCCAGAAGACGACTGTTCCTGCGTGCTTCTTGGAAACAACCCACGAGCCCGAATGGAAGGATTCAGGATGTAAGGATGTAAAAAATGGACTGCATTATCGCTTGCGTGCATCGTGAGCCGAGTTACCAGTAGAGCGCGGCGGTTGCCGTCACTGTTGCCACCGAGACGGCCCAAGAAGTCGCCGTCGATGTCGTGTTGGCCGCCGCTCGGGAGGCTGCCGTCGTTTTAGGAGGCGACGGTGCACTGTCGGAGGAAGAGCTTCCAGCAGGAGCGACGACGGAACTGCTTGACGACGGTGTCGTTGCGTTCGTTGCCGTGGTCGCATTGGCCGCCTTTTGCAGTTCAGTCAAGAAGCTAGCGAAGGGCACTGTCGCCATTGCTCGGACGTCGATGCCGTTGGGCATCGCACAGGGCGTGACGTTGGCGAGGACACCCGTGTACGCCGAGTACCACGTCTGGCATTTGGGGCTTTTTGTGAAGATCGAGGCTTGCGTGGGTGTCAGCGGCGCGTTGAAGAGGGCCTGCATGTCCTTGATCGAGGCGCTGGTCAAGCAAGCCTTGGCGATTGGTCCCGAGTTGACGGGTGTTGTCGCTGCAATGAGCTGCGCTTGGTCGCACGGCGCCAAGGGACCGGCAGCAAGGATAGCCGTCGCGAGGAAGAGGAGGGCAGAGCAATGGGACTTCATCGAGGCAAATGCAAGAATGAGCTATCCAAAGGCGGATCCTGCGCCAGCAATCTCGCTTTTACGCGTCGCCCTGTCGCTTTGGATCTGCCTTTTCCGCAACACACTTTTTCCTAAACTTGAAGCGGGTGGGTCTAGGACGATGAAACCGATTTAGGGTATTAGACGCAACTGAACGAGGACATGTCCGATTCCGATTTGCGTAGCTTAGTGGCGGTAGCACTGGGCGTACCACGCGTCGAAGGTTTGCTCGTTCATTGGGCGCTGTCGGGCGTCGTTGTCGACGACTTGGCCCGCGCTGTTGAGGATCTTGAACGTCGGGATGCCCTGGATCTGGTGGGTTTCCTGCAGCTCTTCGCGCTCCGAGCTGTCGTACGGCACCGCGAGCCACGGCATGTCGCGAAAGTAGTTGGTGAACTGCTTGGCGTCGTGGTCGGCCGAGACAAACACGACTTCAAACGGCCGCCCGAGACGCTTCATCGACTGGTAAAACTGTGCGAGCATCGGGGTAAACTGCCGGCACGGGCCGCACCAATGCGCGCTAAAGTAGAGGCCGATGACCTTGCCGCCCAAGGTCGCGGAGGGCACGCGGTCACCGGTCGTCGAGAGAAGCGACGGTGCAAGCGCCTTAGCGAGCGCCAGCGCCGGCGTCGGCGGCATGATGGGCCCAGCCGCACGGCTCCAGACGCCCCAGCGATCGAGACCGTACGCGCGGTACCGAAAGGCATACGGGTGTCCCGAGTTGCCGAGGTTCTTCTTCTTGATCGCAGTTGACGTGACCGTGCTCGTCGCCGTCGTCCACTCGGACGCGCCGTCCATGAGGAGGTGCTGCACCTCGTACTTGGGGCTGGCGGCGATCGCGGGCCATTGGATCGTGGCGCTCACGAGCTGGACGTCGGTGGGCATGATCTCAAGGGCGACCGTGGGCGCGGGCGGCTGGGCGCCATCAATGGTCGGGTGCGCCCACACCAATGGCTCGGAGAACGCGACGTCGCCGACCGCCTTGACGCGGAAGTGATAGCTCTCGCCACCCTCCATGTTCTTCTTCTTCATGACCGTGCTCTTCAAGGTCAGCGGGTTGTACACGGTAGCATCTGCGCGCTTCCACTCGACCTCGTACGCCGAGGCGCGGGCGTCTGCCCAGAAGAGCGTGACCGTCGTCGGCTCGAAGTCGAGGACCTGCATGTTGAAAACTGCACGGCCTGTGTACTCTTGCTTCGAACTTCGAATCGAGGCGCTTCGCGAAGCCATCGTCTTGGCTGCGATGACGTCCCTGGACGAGGACGCTTCTGCCGTCGGCGACCATCGCTTGAAAGCAGCCGCACGTACCGGTATATTGCACTAGAAGGTGTGCCCGAGCTGCCAGAACTCGTGGCTCGAGTGCATAGACGTGAGGTCGACTCTGCGCGGCTACAAATGGCAATGCAAACGTCGACGTCGGCTGCTGCTGCGTCGGACCGTCTACCGCCCCTTGGCCTTGGACATAATGTCTGAACTTTTGCAGTTCATAGCTAGGAGACTAATGTCATCTGCTACAGAGAGGAACGGGATCACGGAGGCGCGTACGATGGCACCAAAGATCGGCGCGCTTCGAAGTTCGTATCGGCCAATCCGCGGGCATCCGGATACGATATACGGATGACCGCGGGCAGCGCCGCAGAAACAATCGCAGCTTCCAGTCATGTTGGCCAGTCGCCGCGTCCTGCGCGTCCTCCTGCCGCGCGCCTTTAGCACGGCCGCCAAGGCCCGCTCCAACGGTACATGGTCTGCGCCGTAAGCGATCTCAATGGCCATGCTGCTAGTCATCGTCTGGGGCAACGGCTCGGTGGGCCAGCTCGGTGTCGGGCCCTTTGAAGTGTCTGGCATCACGCGCAAGTACGAAGAGCTCGGGCCCAAGGTGCTCGATAGCTTCCTCGAGCAAAACATCAACGTGACCAAGCTCGCCTTGGGCCAGGACCACAGCGCCGCCGGTACAGCCTCCTTTTGATGTGCAGCGGCTCATGCCACCGAGCGACGTAGTTGATGAGAACGGTCGCGTCTACATGTGGGGCCGTGGCGAGAAGGGGCAGTTGGGCCTTGGCGAAAGCAAGCTCCAAGCGGATGCCCCGACGCTCCTCGAGACGCTCCAAGACGTGAAGATTGTCGATATCTCGTGCGGCGTCACGCACACCGCGGCCGTCGACTCGGAAGGCCGCGTCTTCACGTGGGGCTTTGGCGGCTCGGCCATGTCGGACAATGCGCTCGGCCTTGGCCCGTCCTCGGGGAAGAACCAAATGGCGCCCGCGCTCGTCGAAACCTTCATTGAAGATGTACGCCATGTCCATTTGAGCGATGGCACCGACCTGCGCTTAGGGCTGCCCCATTGCCTCGATTGACTGCGGCGACGCACACACGGTCGCGCTCTCGGTGGACGGCGAAGTGTGGTCGTGGGGCCGCGGCGACAATGGCCGCCTCGGCAACGGCGAGCTCATCAGCCTCGAGTACCCCGAGCCGATGGAATTCTTCGACAAGGTCAACATTGTCCAGATCGCGGCCGGCCGGTCGTTCACGCTTGCGCTGCGTGACGACGGCCGCGTCTTTGGCTGGGGCAAGAACAACCGTACGTGCATGTCCTAGCTCCCACGCCGTTTTTCCAATGCCATCGTTGGTAGACTTTCAGCTCGGCTCGGAAGGCGGCGGCATGGTTGTCGACATGAACACGATGGAGAGCTTCCCCGTCGAGATCACGGGCTTTTACGGTACGTCCGTAGCGCCTATAGCGGGTAACGCTGACATTCGACCCCGCAGACGAGCGCATTGTCAAGATTGCGGCCGGGAAGGAGCACGGTGCTGCGATTTCGGCGGCCGGCCGCCTCTTCATCTGGGGCTCCAACCTCTGGGTGCAGCCGCGCGAGATCACGGCGCTCAAGCACAAGAAGATCGTCGACGTGGCCTGCGGCGACCGCTCGACGCTGGTCGTTGCCGGTACGACGCGTCCTGCAATCGATAGACAATATTGTGGACGATATGTGTGTGTAGAGGACGGCACGGCGTTTACGTTTGGGAAGCGCGGCATGGGCAGCTCCAACTACCTTGGCCACTACGACACGCAGCCCCAGGCGCAGCCCAAGCAGCTCGACGCGCTCTCGCAGGCCTTTGTCATGGCCGGCGCGTGCGGCAGCCAGCACATGGCCGTCCTCGCGCGTGCCCAGAGCCTCGCCGCCGACTCGGACTTTTCGTTCCGGGAGTAAACCAACCTCTTGCACCGTGTGTTTTCTACCGTCTTTCCATCTCTCGGTGGCCCAGGATTGAATCCATGACCTCCTGGTCCGCGTCGACGCACTCGATACAAGCAGTCGACGGCAGCAGCTATCCTATGCATATGCCGGTAGCAAGCTCATGTGCTGGCCGTGCATGATGGCGAGACAGGCGGATGGCGGATGGCGACGACGGTCAGCGGGAAAGGCAGATGGACGGTGCTCGTACTACATTAAAAAGATGGCAGGATCCTCCTCGGTTCATACAATGGCGGTCGCGGCCGCAGTCGCCGCAGCATTGCCGAGCGTCGCGCGCAGAATGTCGACGAGTTTGTTGAACTTGTCTTGCTCGATCTTGGCCTTCTCGAGCTCGAGCTCGCGGTCCTTCTCGCGCATTTCCTTTTCGTGGCGCAGCTTGCGCTCGAGCTGCTTCTCCTCGAGGTCCTTCATCTGCAACTCCTTCTGGAAGCGCATGCGCTCAAACTCGAGGCGCTCCCAATCGAGCTGGTACTTTTGGAGCTCGATCGTCTTGGGGTCGAGCGGCGGCGGGCGCTTCCCGTGCGGGTTGTTGAGCATGATGTTGGCCACGTTCACAGGCGCGGGGCTCGGGCGCTTGGCGCTGGGCGGCGGCGTCCGCGCCGACGGCGTCACGGCGCCCATCGAGAGCACGGACGGGTCGGTGCCATCCAAGTCGCTTGTTTCGTCCATGCCCGTGGCCATGCCCATCATTGTCATCGGCAGCGACGACATGAGGTTCAGCGAGCCCATGCTCGGCGTCTGGGCGAGGAAGCTCCGGCGCAGCTCTTCGTTCTTTGCGAGCACTTGGTACTCGTGCCAGCGCACTGGGTGCGCGCCGCTCAGGTGGCTACGAATGTTGTCGACGCGGAACGAGCGAAAGTACTTGGTCGTCGTCAGGCCACGGCGGCGCTTGCGCTGGTTGCTGCTCGTCGGCGACAAGGGCTCCTCGTCCTTCTCGCGCACCTCGCGGCCAAACGCCTTGCAGAGGCCGCAGACGGCCAAGATGACCTCGCCCGTGTGCGGATGGCGCTCGACGATCTGGAGGCCGAACTCGACCTCGTACTTGGGGATCCAGTGGTGGCGGCGGACGCGGTCCTTGTCCTTGTTGGCCTGCGCGTCGTCCTGCATGGTCCTGGTTGATCCGGAAATCGGCAAGTGCCTAAATGGAGCCTTCCACCAGTGGTCCTTGTCCTAGCCGGTAGGTGTCATTCCTTCATTGCAATGCAAAATATGTATAGAGAGGGCATTCACCCGATCTGTAGCCAATCCAGTGCAGGGAAAATCCTTGAATGCAATGGATCAGAGTTAGAGAAAGTCGAAACAGGCCCGATCCCCTGTTCCATTTTATAAAAATGAAGTTTTCCATTTTATTCTAGGCATTCACTTGATGTATGTATGCGCATTTGAAAATAGGATTTGTATTCACGAGGCATTTTTTGCACCAGTTAGGGCCAGTTAGGGCACGGGCGAGACCAAGGATTTCATACTATTCATGCGTTTACTGAAATAGTGTATGTAGGCCGCCGACGGAACTCTGCACCCTTACGTACAGGAGCGTGGCCTCGCCTTCGGTAGCAGTACCGAGCGATAGCAACTAGTACTGAATTTTGAACGAGACGTAGGTATCGCAATCGCTAGTTCAACGACAGGATTTGCAAACTGAATGTAAATTTTGAAATTGCTTACTTCACATTTGTTTGTAGCATGCACTGATGCAATATCACCTCGTTCTTGGTGAATCTACTAGATCCATTCTCTTCCTCCAACCTCTCATAGACTCCTTTGCTTCGTCACCAAGGCTTTCGCAGCACGTGCACGCTGCAAGACCATCACGATCGGTTTGGCGGGAACAGCCGAATTTCAAACATTTGGATTTTACCTAGAATAGTATGAGAGACCTTCATTCAGACCTTGCAGAAAATAGTGTCAAGATAGCGCTTGAGAAGGCGCAGTCCTCAGAACGCCCGATGCCACGGAAGGGACCGCCAAAGACCACGCGTCGTGACGAGCGAGCGAAGGAGAAGGAGGAGGCCGCGAAGCAGCGCCTGCGTGAAGAAGCCAAGGCCGCGCGCGCGGCCCAAGCGGTCCGGCAATTCCGTCACAACCCCGAGATGCCCGACGCCCAAGGCGACCGACGGGATCTCCGGCGCGGCTTGGCCTCCGAAGGCATGCCTCTCGAGCGGTATGGCGAATCGCCAGCGCAACTCGGTAAGCGTGGTGAAGTGCTCCAAGCGTCATCAGGTGGCCGCGCCGCGCCTCGAGGCTTTGAGTACGACGCTGCCGACGACTGGTACGGCGATGACGACGACGTCTAGAGATCTCGCGGCATTTCGCAGTAGCACCGCGACTTGTAAATGTAATACACCGTACCTCTATCATGTACAGTCGTGCTGCGGGACTTGAAAAAGTCATTTGGACAGAGAGGGATAGCTGATATCGTCACATTCCACGCATCCAAAGACGCAGCCTCCACCCGCGCATTGGAGAGAAAAGACCATGGCACTACATACATGCACATGGGGCTTAAAGGCTGCGGGTACAGTCTGCCATTATGGTCTGCCATGCCATTGATTCGCTTCGAGTCACCGTCCCAAAGGCGTCAACTTCAACTTGAGCAAAATGAAACTCAATTTCATGCAATTATAAAAATATGAGTGCAAAGTGAGATGATTTGGAATAAAAATGCACTGCGTATCCACAGATCATTGTTTTTGCGCAATTAAATTACGAGTCAAATTCATTCTATTACCTTCAAGATCGCGAAACGTTCGTTCATTTCAGAGTTTGCCATGGCCGACGGCAACGCACCGATGGCCATCCCGTACGGTGCAAAGCTCATGACGCTGACCATCCTTGGCCTCATGGCCGTGCTCGCTTGGACTCGCGCCAAGTCCTCCCGCCCGGCGACGCCGCAAGGCCCAGACAGCGCCGACGAGCCGCCTTGGCAAGAAGACGGTGCGTTTCGCATCATGCATGACCGACGTTGACCATGCCCACGCTTTGCGTGCACAGAAGTGCACCAGATGACTTGCGCCTTCAAGAGCCTCAGCATCAGCAAGACGTCACGCCCTAACCTTGGTGGCCCGGCCCTGTCGGTGCAGAACTGGCCTGTCCGCTCGCCCGTGGCCGATACCTTTGCCGACGATGCCTTGTGGTTCATCGACCAGGGATGGAACGGCGTCCGGTACAACCTGATCACTGTTGTACTCCGCGTCTTGTTCTTGCTGTGCACTGGCCAAGCAGCGAACGCCATCGCGCTCCTCGACGATCTATGGCACGCTGGCGGCCTCCTGCACATGCTCGGCTCGGTCGCAACGTGATAACTTGGTTTTGACCTGTAGAGCAGTCGCCAGCGTGTGGACTCCAAGTTCTGGCCAAGAAATTGTCTGATTTGCTGCGAACGAAGTCGACATCAATGCATTTTAATCGTCAAATTCCATGGCGAAAACACTGTTCATGTCTTCAATGAGCGCGTCCTTGTCGTCGGCTGGCAGCGTCGCCCAGTAGTTGGCCCAGAACACCTTGGCGCGCGCAGCGACATCGGCTGCCTCGACCTCGGCCATGACGTAGCCCCACTTACGCTTCCACACAGCGGTCCGAAGGTGGCGCTGGACCGCGCGCATGGCCCGGCGCACGTCCGGCCGCTTGCATGCTGGCAGAATCACGTCGCGAAGCCGCTGGTCCTTGAGATATGGCGTGAACGCGCGACCGTTGATCTCTGGTGGCGCCCGCACATCCACAAACTCGAGGTGTGGCATGCCTTCGAGGTCCTGGACCGACACGACCGTGTGGCCATGGTCGACGAGCGTGTCTTGGTTGGTGCCGCCGAGCAGCGTCGAGAAGTAACCGAGGAGCGGAGCACTGTCGGGCGACTTCCACTGGTGCATGTACTGAGGGTAGAAGCGCAGCGAGACGAGGCGAAGCGCGTTGGTCGCGTCAAACATAAAGCAGGCGTAGCTGCCACCGTCGTACGTCGCTGTTGGCGGCAGGCTCGGGAAGAGATCGGCGACTTGGTCCAGGCTGACCCAGACGTACCGGCACGTAAAGTTAAGGACTTCCGGTGCGACCGGGGCGTCCTTGAAGAAATCATCGGCGGTCCACAAGTCCGGCTTGAGTGCCGCGAGGGCTTCCATACTCATGCCGAGCTCGATGCCGTTGCCACCGAGCCACGGTGCGAGCGTGTTGCTGGATGCGAGGCGCTGGTGCTCGGCCAAGTGCAGCCGGTAGAACCACTCACTGCCCGGCAGGTGGCGTTGGACGACAGACCAGCAAAGACGCGGCTTGTGTCGGCGCACGAGAATCCGTAGCTTGGAAAGCACCTCGGGACGCACGCACTGGAACTGGAAGGCCATGCGTTCGGAAGACCATGAAAAGTACATACCGCAAAAGCAGTTCATCGAGTCGCAGCCGTCGCCCTTGACGAGGTGCAGCTTGCAGCTTGGGCACTGCGCAATGTCGTCAATGGCCTCGACCGGCGCACACGGTTGTCCCAAGTGGTGACCGCCGACCTTGCAAGCAAAACACAAGTCGGCCTTGCAGCACGGCGACTGAATGAACGGCGCGTCACGGCGCCAGCGAAGGAAGAGCGTCGCTCGGCGCTCGACGTCGTGGATGAGTGGCAACATCGCGGTCAGAATGACATCGTCGTGGCCCGGAAACGTGGCGCAAACATAGTCGTAGAGCGCGTCGACCGAGAGGCGATGGCGGCAGTACTGGCCGCAGCGCGTCTGGAGCTCCGGAACCTGCTGTGCGAGGTGCGTTGGCAGCGTGAGCGGCTTGACCGAATCGCGTTGTGCTGGCAGCATCGAACTGTTGTTGTGGCAGTTCGGGCACTTGACGTCGCACGCCGACAGCACCTTTGTTTCGAACGGCTCGAGGAGTTTGGCGGCCTTTCCTAACCGCTCTCGCCAGCGGACTAGGTTGGTGGGTCGAATGCAAATGGGGCACTTGAGCTTGGCGAGCACGCCGTACAGCGCCGACTCGGCCTGGACGTTGAGGAAGGCTTCGACGCACGACGTGCAGAGGACCGCGGGACAGGCGGTGCGGCAGATCTGCGTGACGACGGCGTCGGCCTCGTCAAAGCAGACTTGACACGTGGGAATCCCGGGCGCGACCATGGCCAATGCGCTGTGTATGTGTGTGTGAGGAACTAAATAGGAGAATGAATTGGGCCGGCCTGGCCGTCCCTACTTCATTGCTGGCTTTTGGAGCCAGGCAACAAATCTTGCATGAATGATGGTCATCCGGATCGCTGCCGGATTGCGAGCAGCTGCTGCAACAACCGCAGTGCAAGTGCAGCGACCCGACCAACCTTGGCGATGGTGCAAGTGCAGTGGTACCAACGTGCACGGACGACGGACAAGTGGAAGCGAAGCGGTATCTGAACCAATGCTGATCCCAGAAACGGCCACGTCATGAGCTTGCACTTTGTAAGGGTCCGACAATCCGATGCAGGTGTGGCGGCAGTCGTGATCGGACCTTCACTCATGTGTGAGGATCCCCTCTCTTTTCTCGACTGCATTGAAACACAGGGTGGACGCTACGGGTGGAGGCCGGGTAGCCGACGCGCAGCCACGTGTTTCTTCGATGCAATGCAATAACGACGTCGCACGTTGTTTCTCGTCCAACGTGTTTGGCGTGACGAATCGCCCTCGCAAGCAAGGCTTGCTCTCGAGACGATGGGTTCTGAAGTGGCTGATGAGCAAGTTGGAAGCTGCCTCATGGACGCGGGCGTCGATCTACTTGAACAAGTGACGCACATGAGAGACAAGATTGGGCTTGCGCGACTTCGCGTACTTTCTGTAGAGGGATAAAAATAACCGGCACTCGATCATGGACGACGTGCGATACAACTGCGTCTCGGTGGCTTTGAGCCTCGGCTTCCTCCTCAACCTCGTGCTCATGCCGTTAAAGGCCTACATGAGCGAAGCGTCACCTTTCGATGACAAGCAGTTTGCACTCGTCTCGGCCAACGCGATTCCAACCGTCAACCATACCGTCTCGATGCTCTTTGCGAAATCGCTGCAAGCGCGCTTCGCCAACGTCACGTCGCTCTTCACGTACGACGCATCGCTAAGCGCCGAGATTGTCCGCAATGTGCTGCCCTACAACGCCAGCAACTGCGACGACCAGATCCTCACCCGCATCGATGGCAGCATCTACTGCCCGTACGACCTGCCATCGAAACTCACAGCCTACCTTTGCGGCACGTCGTCGACGCCAATCGCTAGAGTTGGCGCCGCCTACATGATGAGCGCGCCCACGGGCATCTTTGCCTTCTGGTCGTCGCCGGGCGATGTGACCAAGGCGGGCGCCAATCCCTCCACCGTGACGACGATTTCCTTCATGTACGCGACTGTAAGCTACTCACTTTTCTGGCTCACGGCCAAGTTTTGCGTTCGCTTTGGGCTAAGTCTGCTTATTGGCATCGAAGCCTACCGCCTCTACTACCGCCACGTACGGACTCTGCGCCGACTGCTGCAGTCGCATCGACTCCATGCAACGCCCACGAACGTCGTGCGGTACGAAGTTGTGCTTGGCGAGCCCACGTCGCTCGTGGTGTGTCACCCGCTCGTCATAGCAGTCTTTGTAATCGACTTTTGGAGCAGCGTCGAAGTCGTGGCCCAAGCCATTTTACGCGTGTCCCAGACCAAAGCCCTCTACTACACGGGCCTGGGCGCGATGTTTCTAAGTCGGTCGGTCTGGTTTTCGTATGCGACGCTGACGGCGTTGAACTGCTACCTCAAGTGGCGCCGCCGGGCCGCGCTCTTCCGCCCGAGCAGCACGACGGTCGTCGCGATGGCGTCGTTCCTCTTTGCGGGTCTCTCGACCAACGCCCAAAACGCGTGGCTTCCGACCCTCTTGCTCTACACTCGCATCTCCAAGCCACTGTACGAAGCATCCAGCGACGGCGAGTACTGCACGACGCAGGTGCTTCCGGCGTCGATCATGTATTCGGTCTCACTCTGCGCGATTCCGTTTCTTTTGGCGATTCCCCGCTTCACGCTCCGCCGGCTCCGGGACTGGAGGCACCCCGTGGCCAAGTATACCCAGGTAGTAGGCGTCTTCTGCTATTCGGCAATCGGCAAGTCTCTCTAGGCGCCGGTGGGGGGCCCCGCGATATGCGCTATCGCCTCATGGCGTGGTACTGCCGCCTCCAGCACATCTACTCTGGTATGAGATCGAGTGTGCGGTGCTATCATGGATGATGACATGTAGGTCGACGCGTCCTCGGTGGCAGCGCCTACGATCTCTTCAGCATCGACTCGCGCTTCCGGCGCATGATGACCGTGGGCCAAAACGGCACCGACTGCTACGTCTTTGGCTACGATGCGGACAACCGCTTGACGGAGATCACACGACTGAGCCTCTTGTCCCGCGTCGACTTGACGTGTTTTGGGCTCGAATCCGGCAAGCGCGTGCGCCCCGACGCTTGCGTGTCCCCAACGACCCCGGCACCGAGCCTCGCGGTCGGTTGCGTGCACCTACCAAGAGGCAACCGCGGTCTTGACATCGAGTTTGGCGCCGAGCACTCGCCGTGGCTGGCATAGACAACATGTGTACACAAGACTACTTGGCATGTTGTTGTTTAGGGTACACAGATCGAACGTTTAGTTCCAGTGGAAACCAATGCCAGGCACGCACTGCGAGTACCACTCGTCGACGCGGACACACGTGAGGTGTTCGCCGCACGAGGTGCTACCAGTGTAGTCCTTGCCACCGCACTGCTCCCAGACCTTCTTGGCCCCCGACGAAGGGCGCGACGTCGGCTTGCTGCTCGGCTTCTTTGTGGCCGGACGGGGCGTCGACGGGCGCGGGCGGTTGGTAGGCTTGGTCGTCGGCTTCTTCGTCGGCTTGGTCGACGGTTGCGACGTCGGCTTGGTCGTGGGCTTGGTCGTTGGGTCGTCACTCGGATCGTCCGACGGGTCATCGCTGGGGCTGTCCGTCGGGTCGTACGTGGGCTTGGGCGTCGGCTTGTCGCTGGGCTTGGGCGTCGGCGAGATGCCGCCGTCAAGGGCGTTCTTGGGGAGCTTGTTGATGCGCTTGAGGTCCTTGACAATCTTATCGATCTTGACAGCGCCGTTGAGGCAGCCGCCGCAGTTGTGCAGTGCGATGACCGAGTTGTCCTTGGCACTGAGCACCGGCGACCCGGACGACCCGCCCTCCGTGTCGACCATGTAGCCCACTTCGTCGTCGACACACGAGGCGTGGCCCATGTCTTCGATTGTCCCTGGCTGGCCATTGTCGAGCTTGGCGGCAATGCGTGTCGGCTTGCCGGCGGGGTGCTGCGGGATGTAAATCTCTTCGCCAAGGACAGGCCCCGACTCGCGCGCCGTGAGGTAGCCGTACGAGGCGAGATCCTTGGAGTTGATCTTGACTAAAGTGTAGTCGAGCGCCTTGTTGGTATGAATGAACTCGACGCTCGAGGCGACGACCTTGCCCTTGCACCCGAGCTGTTTGGTGTTGTTCGGGTCATTGCACGTCGCACACTCGGCGGCGAACTCGACTTGGACGTTCTTGGCCTTACTGGCGTCGCCGATACAGTGGTTGTTGGTGATCAAGTGGCCTTCCGAGCCAAAGAGCCAGCCGGTGCAGAGCCCAGAACCGTTCATGAAGAGACGCGCGACGGCCTGCGCCTTCTTGTACTGCGTCGGCACCTTGTCCTTGTAGCAGATGGCGGCTTCCGAGTCGTCCTTGCCACAAATGGCCTCGGGGTGCTTCTGGCTGTTCTCGGGGAACCCACTGGCGTACCGGTCGATCGAGATCACGGGCGACGCACCCTTGCCCTTTGGCGGCGCGTGGTACGTGATCTTGGCGGCGTCACCTCGAATGAACTCGGCGTAAAAGTCGCTGTGCTTGCCTGTGTACGTGACCGCGTTCTGGCCATCCGGCGCGCTCACCGTGACCGATGCGCCGTGCGGCAAGTCGAGCTGGTTAAAGTGCAGCGCAATGTACGTCGCCTTGTCGTGCGTGATGGTCTTGGTCGAGACCTCGGCCGACAGTGTCAAGTTGTAGCTCTGGTCGGCGCCGATCTTCTCGACCGACTGAAAGCAGAATTGCCCCATCGCACTCGACGCGAGGAGACCCAAGCAGACAGCGAGCTTGGAGACCGAGAGCATGGTGGCGATTTAGTCAAGAAGAAGAGAATTCAAAAATGAGTGAGTTTGCAGTTTGAGCGCCGACACAGATACAGACAACGGACGGCTCTCGCGCCCTCGCTTCGACCAGCTGTTTAGTCAGCAGCGATCCCAGGTGGTGTTCGAATTGGTCAAGCTAGGTAATTATAATGCATACAATTAGCGTGAAGGAAATGAGAATGTCGATGTATAATGCATATTTATAGCTGAAGCCAAACGCTCAGCCGATGACCGTACACTGACATCGGATGGCGATGACATAGAGCAATCGAACGTGAGCAAGCGTGAAGCCACATGCGCCCTATGCACAACAACCGACCCAGCGCATGCTCTTGCGCACCCTGATCTGTATGCATGTCTGAACGAGCGTGACACGGTTAACGGCAATGTCATTACTCGATATCGGCGACTCAGATCCCTCGACACAGATGTGATTTCAACTGGCAATGTGGCACGATATAGTAAAGCAGGTGCCATTGAAGCATCATCCTATACATTTGTATCCTACCCTCTGAGCCCACAATGAGAGCACACACAGATGCACAGCTGTGGTTGCAACGCTCGAGTTCGTGCGCAGATCTCGCCGGGCCAATAGGGGACTCTCGGTGGCCCCATTTTTCGAGTTGAGATACTCATTTACCTTTATATATTGTCATGAAACCTTTATAAATGGATTTTGACAAATGCCTGGATCTCGCGTTCGCCGAGAATCTCAAGTCGAATTGGAAGGATTGTCCGGATGACGCATTCGGATGACATTTTCAACGATGGAGCCTGTCCCCGCCATTAAGCCTCCAACCGAGATCGAGGAGGTAGCCACGGGCTCCAATGCCAGCAAGTTTGCCTGCAAGCACGACATCGCGATGCTCCGCACCGTCAATTTGCTCGAGCCTTGGGCGGCGGCCCACGGTGCGGTGATGTCCACGTGGGACGCGATCGCCGAGTCGCTCGCCGACGCCAGCGACTTTGGCCTCAAGAACAAGAAGGGCCCAGCGCTCAAGACGCGCTTCGAGATCATCATGAACAGGTTCAAGAAGAGCGAATTCCAGAGCCTACGCAAGTCCGGGACGGTCGAGGAGTACGAAGAACGCGAGCAACTCCTTACAGACATCAAGGCCCGCATGGACGACCACACGGCGAACGGGACCGTCCGCAAGGACGCCGAGAAGAAGAAGCAAGAAGACCTTTTGATGCGTCGACTTAATATGGCTCCCCTAGCGCCACCAAGAGCGGAAATGACGGCCGACTCGGATGCTTCAGCTTCGTCGTCCGTGACCGCTGAGGCGGCGTCGGAGTCATCGGAAGGCCCCGCGGCCACTGGTGAGGCATCAACACCCTCACCCAAGCGGTTGAAGAAGACCATCGCGAAGGACGACGACATCACAGGTCTCATGACTGCGATCCAGTCGGACATCAGCGAGAGGCGCTCACGCGACGAGGCCAGCTCAAAGCAAGCGCAAGCAGAACTCCAATTGCAACGCGATCGATTGGATCACGACAGCACGCTTGCGCGGACGCTGGCGGAACAAAATGCGCAGACCCAGCAGATTATCATGGCTCTTCTCCAGCAGCTTGCGGATGCCAGCTCGAAGCGAGCGCAGGAAGAACTCCAATTGCAACGCGAGCGTCTGGATCACGACCGCGCGGTCGTGCGGACGCTGGCGGAACAAAATGCGCAGAACCAGCAGATTATCATGGCTCTTCTCCAGCAGCTTGCGGATAAGTAAAGTCATGCAATGCAAATGCAGTTCGCCTCCATGTTGTTACTCGATGATCAATCAAGCGGGAGATTCGTATCGATCGAAGGAGGGTTCACACTGAAGTTCTTGGAGATCGGGGTGCCCGTCGGCTCGAGGCACGTACGGCAGTTCGTCAGTAGCACGGCGGTAAGCCAAAGCTTTCCTAGATTCGCAAGTTGAGTTGCGAGCCATCGAGAAACCCGTAAAACTTACCGACTGGATACTGTCGCACCTTGATCTTCTTGTCGTAGTTGATGTAGCCCCATTGGCCCTTGATGAGCCCGAAGGACCATTCGACGGACTCGCGGACCGAGCTCATCTTCGTGTTGAAGTCGGCCTTTGGAGATCCAGGTCGCACACTTGAAAACGGGCACGCAAGTCTGGCGCGACACCCGTAAGCCGGGTCGTTGCACATGCAGTAGTCGCGGAGGACCTCGTCTTCTTGGAACTCGAATAGGATGCGACTCATCGCCAACATAGTCGTATCTTGACGGCAACCTTCGACGGGCCCGTTCATACGGATGATGAGTCCATCGGGACCGTGATACCCTGCCAATTCAGGCAATGGCGCCGCGGGTGGCCGTTGTAGATGGAGTGTTGTAATTTTTCGTGCTCGGCGCCTTCCTCACGCGCACCCGGTCGACTCATGTGCTGCTTCGTCCCGTCAATGAAAGCCATCCACGTGGTCAAGCCAACAAGGCGATACTTTTCGTGGATGGCTGGCCGCGTACGTAGATAGATTTGGAAACGTACATGCATTAGTGAGGTCGAGCCGCAGTGCTACTGTACCAACGTTGTCCACCAAATCCCTCTGTGGAGATAAATCATGTTCTTGTGTCGCTCATAGATGTCTTCGACAATCGCACGGATGTTGCGGCTGCAGGCTTCCACGGATGGTAACAACCGCGAGGGCTCGGCGAGACGACGGCACAGCTGCGCCAAGGCTTCGAGACTCCCAACTCGGTCTTGCGACGTCGTTGCGATCGTTGGTAGACGCTGGATGTGCCGAACGAGTCTCTCGAGTTGGGGCACCGTAAACCGAAAGCGGTGGAGGGTTGTCCAAGTCGGGGTTGAAGGCGTCGTTGAAGTGAATAAGCGGGCGCGGAGGCGAAAACCTTTGGTCTGTAGCAAGAGCTCCATCACGTCGATCGATGTCGTTGAGAACCGTATCTCAAACCCAAAACTCACCAAAAGGCATCGGTTTCGATATTTCGAGATGCTCGGAATCTAAAATTCAACTCGGAAATGGGGCCACCGAAAGTTGACTCATGGCTCCTTCTGCTTTGCGACGTGACAACAGCGTTCGCTACGGTGCGTCTCAATCCTACAACGGTACTGGTACAAAACCAGTAATGTAATCAACGACACTTCGGTACCATGAAGCAATACGACGACGACTATTGGTGCCATCGACGCGTAGCAAAAAAACCTGGACGACTCAACTCTTGGAACTCCATGTATTAACATACAAGACAACACATCACCACTTAGATGGTGGACTGGGCCGGGAGCTTGCCGGCGGCTTGGAGATCCTTGACGACATCACTGATCTTGACGCCGCCGTTGAGGCAGCCGCCACAGTTGTGGAGTGCAATGACCGCGTGGTCCTTGGGACTGATGACCGGCGACCCGGACGACCCGCCCTCGGTGTCGACCATGTAGCCGACTTCGTTGGCGACGCAGCTGTTGATGTTGAGCGACTCGATCGTGCCCTGGGCGCCGCTGTCGAGGAGGTACCCGATGCGGCGCGGCTTGCCGCGGGTGCTGCGGGATGTAGATCTGTTCGCCGAGCTTGGGGCCAGACGCGCGCGCCTTGAGGAAGCCGTACTTGGCCAAGCTCACGCCCGACTTGA